AAAAAATCCGCAAATTCCGCAGTGAAATTTAAAGATACATGATAAGATTATAACAAGATGTTTGACGAGTCATTTTTCATTGGTGTGCAGAACTGTGCAGATGTCGAAAATTGCGCATTTTGTTGTAATAGATTTCGGGCATTGAGTACACTCAGCGTACGTCTTTCACTGCATTTTGTATTATTGTTATCTGTTTGGGCATGCGCAGTGCGTTGAGAATCTTTGTGAAGCTTCCGAATACAGTCGAAACACGTAAGCCGATTAACTGTGACATTGTACAGCGTGTTTGCAAACTATTTACATTGTGTATGTGAGTAAACAAATCCAAAGCATCATGAAACCAGCGGAAACAATAGCGTCATCACTCCTTCTCTTTTCTACCTCCATGATTTAGCGAATCTCTCTTGTCTTTGTTGATTTCCTGTTTTCACAATACTTGTCTGTTGACTACTAAAACAAATGCGCAGTTATCACCTCCATAAAAACAAAGAAAATCTGTCAAGTGTAATTAGGAAGTGCTCCAGATTATTACATTTTCTGTGTTGTTGACAAAGTGTGTGTGTGAAGAAAAAGACGTTGTTTGGCCACCATTTTGAATTTATAATGAAGTCATTAGCGACATCTTGAATTAGCGAATTAGTTCTCTCGCTAAAAAGATATGCTCGCAAAAAAGACATGTTTTACAGTTTTTAATGTAATATGCATTTATTTTTTTAATGTTTTTAAAGTGTTGCAATTGTTGATCATTACACTTTAGTGATTACAATAATATAGATGTTGAATTTTTATGAAATACAACTAAAATTCAACTTAGTTTCATCATAAGTGAATGATTTTGGTTGCATGTAATTGTTCGATGCAATATGATATCTGCCATGTTTTTTCTATACACAAGTTGACGTGAAACTGTGTTCTTTGACCTGACAGGTCAAGTCGCTAATTAACCAATCAAAATGCTGTATGGTGCCAACATGTTCAAATCACCATAGTTCATTTAAATGTGTTAATGATAGTTCAGCGACTTCATGGCAAATGCAACACAAAAAAGATTGCCACACTAGAAACATTACATTACAATACATTACATTGCTATGCTAGCCACAATACATTACATTGCTATGCTAGCCACAATACATTACATTGCTATGCTAGCCACAATACATTACATTGCTATGCTAGCCACATTACATTACATTGCTATGCTAGCCACAATACATTACATTGCTATGCTATGCTAGCCACATTACATTATATTGCTATGCTAGCCACAATACATTACATTGCTATGCTAGCCACAATACATTACATTGCTATGCTAGCCACAATACATTACATTGCTACACTAGCCACAATACATTACATTGCTATGCTAGCCACAATACATTACATTGCTATGCTAGCCACAATACATTACATTGCTATGCTAGCCACAATACATTACATTGCTATGCTAGCCACAATACATTACATTGCTATGCTAGCCACAATACATTACATTGCTATGCTAGCCACAATACATTACATTGCTATGCTAGCCACAATACATTACATTGCTATGCTAGCCACAATACATTACATTGCTATGCTAGCCACAATATATTACATTGCTATGCTAGCCACAATACATTACATTGCTATGCTAGCCACAATACATTACATTGCTATGCTAGCCACAATACATTGCCATGCTAGCCACAATACATTACATTGCTATGCTAGCCACAATACATTACATTGCTATGCTAGCCACAATACATTACATTGCTATGCTAGCCACAATACATTACATTGCTATGCTAGCCACAATATATTACATTGCTATGCTAGCCACATGGCATTATATTACATTGCCACACTAGCCACATGACATTACATTACATTACATTGCAACGCTAGCCACATTACATTGCCACACTAGCCATATTACATTACATTACATTGCCACACTAGCCACATTACATTACATTACATTGCCACGCTAGCCACATTACATTACAATATATTGCCACGCTAGCCACATTACATTACATTGCCACGCTAGCCACATTACATTACATTGCCACGCTAGCCACATTACATTACAATATATTGCCACGCTAGCCACATTACATTACAATATATTGCCACGCTAGCCACATTACATTACATTA